GGTGGAGGGGGGGGATGGCTGGAAGGAATGGTGTCCACCCTGCCAGGGTGTCATCCAGGAGTCTTTAGATGGGGCTTTCTCCATGCCCCATCCTCTGTGCTGCTGCTCTGCAGCCACGTCGCCAGCCCTAGAGCCGAGGGGACTGTCCCATTTCCTCTTTGCTAGAGGAAGCACTCAGCAGCAGCCCGTCCATCCAACCTCACCACGGTACACAGGCCATCTCCAGACTGCCTACAGGGCCTGGGCATCACTGGTGGGAAGTGGTTGCTCACCGGTTGTTCCAAGTGGGGTTTGCAGGTCACCTCTCCCCCCTAAGATGTGGTTTCAGAAGCTCTTAAAAAAAAAATTCCTCTTCCCCTACCTCCTCAAGCTCCTAGAAGATGACTTCCGGTTCATCCTTTGTGAGGGCTGCCAGCAAGAATCGCCCAACCTCAAGCTCCTCACCTGCCTCCACACCTTGTGCCTTGATTGCCTGAGTGAGAACAAGCCGATCGGGCAGTGCCCTGTGTGCCGCACAGCCATCCCGCAGGCCAGCGGCATCCCTGACATGGACAACCTGCTCTTCACCAACCTGCAAGCCAGGCTGAAGGTCTACAAGAAGATCATTGATGGAGTTGATTTGTTCTGTGACTACTGCAAGAAAGATGGTGAGTTCTGGTGCTCCGAGTGCGAGGAGTTCCTCTGCTTCAAATGCTTCCAGGCCCACCAGCACTACCTGAAGAAAGAGAGCCACAAAACCAAGAGGGTGATGGACATCAGGGCAGGGTCTGCTAAGGACTTCCTCAAGGACACCAGGAGGACCAGTAACTTGTCCTGCTCCAACCCAACCCACAAAAGCCAGGCTGTAAGGTGGGTCTAAGGAGGTCTATCCCCATCTGGGTGGTTTCTTGTCACAAATCTCTTTGGGCTAGTCCATGATGGGGTTGAGCAGGGTGTCCCTATCCTTCTGCTGCCCTGATTATCACCATGTCATGGAGAAGATGGGTAGGCTCTAGGACATGGAGGGAGGATTTGGATGAAGCCAGGTTTGAGCTGATGATAGGAGAGTGGGAATAGGGTAGACCATGGGTGGGGAGTATGTGAGGTGCCCCTTGCTAGGGTAAGGAGGGGGAGGCTGATGGACCTTAGCAAGAAGAAGGCCTGTTGCTTCAGCTGCTGTGATGGACAGCAGAAAAGGGTGTGTTTTCCTGATGGTTCTAGACCAGCTTGGAGAGGGCTTGGGGAGCAGCATGGATACAATGCAGAACAAGGTCTAAATGCCCTCAAGAGAAAGTCTGGGAGGTGGCCAGGGCAAGTGGTTGACCAGACCACTCCCTAGTGCACCAATTTTCAAGGCTACCAGGACTTATATGAGGGATGGGTGATGATCTCCACTCTCCACTTCTTATATTCTTGCCTTAGGCATCTTATGGAGATAAGATATTATTTAGTCTCATATTCTTATACATAACCCTAAGAATTGCTCAGGGAAAGGCAGGAAGCTCATTTCTTCACTGCCCTTGTAGTGTGTGGATGAATGTCTACCATAACACTTGAAGGGTCACCGCAGTGAATTTAGTCAGTCCAGTAGAAGAGCAGAAACCCTGTGGAGATAGTGAACCAACATATTTTTTTGCAGTTGGGAGAGCATAAACCCAAATGCCTGGCCCAAATTTGGTGGCAACTTCAATTCAATCAATGAATGAATCTGCAATTTGATAAATTAATGAATTACAAAGGACATGGTCTAAATTACTGCTCTGCTTGTGCTTGGCCTCATAGCATCTACTGCAAGAAGTGCTGCAAGCCATTGTGCTGCATCTGTGCGCTGCTGGACAGCCAGCACGCTCCCTTCTGTGACATCCGCAGCGAGACCCAGCGCAGGCAGGAGGAGTTGGCCACCATCAACCAGGACCTGAAGCAGAAGAGAAGCGGCTTTGAGGCC